AACACTCATGGGGCGACAGTGGGTTCTCAAGCACCCTTGGGACGTTCTCGTGGTCCACTCAAGCCGATTAGGCCCTCGACCCTGAAGCCCTGTATCCTTTAACCCTAAAACCTCGAACTCTCGAACCGTTGAACCTTTAAAGTCTTAAGATTCTAAGCCCGCAATCGCCTCTGAAGTTAAAACACATCGAACCCTTACATTTTTGATCACGGCACCTCTCCGAAGCTTTAAGGCAAGGACCCCACTGACAGCTGAACTGCTCATCGGCAATCCAAGGCCAAGGCTTGGCGATGAGATCACCGGTGAGGTGGTTCAAGGCCAGCGTGCCGAGAATTAACTGGCAATTTAAAGGGGGTTAGGCTTTGGGTTATATAAAGACATTTGAGGTTTTTGAAAAGCGGGTTCTTTGCATTTCTTTAGGGGTTTAGACTTTGGGCTTCGGGTCCCTAATGCTACGTGGGAGTGTGGCCTCAGCTGAGCAGGGACTAGAGGATGGCTTCGGTCCCTCTGTAACAGTAGGACAATGTTACGTTGACGTGGTATTGGGCTTTGGCCTTAGCATTTCTGTAGGGCCCTTGTGGCAAGCTAAGCACAAGAGTAATAAGCTGGCAGCCGTGGCAGTCTGTGGCAGGATGTCGTACTGCTTCGGGCTTGAGGCTTAGTGTCTTGGAGTTTGGAGCTCCAGGGCTCTTAGGGCTTTTTCACAGTCATTATGCTACACTACACCATGACATACCAAAAAAAGAACCCTACGGCCTAGTTGCGAGGGTCTGATCATCGGGCAGCCCTGGGCCCTTGGGATGCCGAAAAATTCCTTGAAAACGGTGGTTTCTGCGAATGATCAACTTGCAGGCTTCTAACGATGGGATCTATGCTACCGTTTTGTAAGGCCTCTGCTATTGCTGTTGCCGCTGTCATTACTATTCTTACTATGAGTCTTGCTAGTGTTGTTATTAGCAATTGTATTTGAGTATGTCAAACCATGGCTTTCCAACGTGGGATGCATAATGCACGGGGTTCAAGAACTCGAATAAGAGTTTGGGGCCTTCTAGAACTCTTATAGAAGGATGTGAAGGGGAGAGTCCGACTGATGATTCTATATTGGTGGCCCTGTCGTGGTAGAGGCTGTAGCATGGTGAAGGAAGCCCCAGGTATTGACTCAAATCAAGGATGCACTCACGAATCGTCAGGAATGATATAAGGGGGGCCTTTTCGAATTATAGTATACTGGGCCCCAAAACCCGATTCTAATTATTAAGGCCCCTATATTACGCAATCAGCCAGGCACAAGCACCTGGCCTTCGACTACAAGACGAAGCCGTAAGCCCTAAGGGCCGCAAGCAGCCCCAAACCGGACGGCCTCAACCACACTATGCTATCATACGCTCTAGAACCCCTTTGATATGTACCACAATAGGCTATTTGGTATATGTCAGAACATGCACACAAATGCACTATGACAAACACACTAGAGAGCGCACAGTATGTGCATCCGTATGACATGCCAAAACAAGTATCTTTTGGGCCCGGCCTCCCAGGTTTGCCAAAAGTCCTGCGCGATGTCCTGTTTGCCCTGCCTCTGCAGCTCCTCTAGCCTGGCTTAGAGGATTTCGGAGGTTCTTAGGGATTTTTAGGGCTCTTAGGGGTTTAGTGTTCGTTCGGGTCTGCAGAAAGTGGATTGGACACCCAAAAAACCTTTCAAAACCTATAGGGTTTAGGGGATTCCCTCACATCATCCCGAGGATGGCTACCATACTCCCGACTGAAATCGTTCATTCGTTTCAGCGGAACCAGAGACATTTTTAAGGCTTGGAGTGCTTCTCTGCCTGCCTGCCATGATGCTACAACACCCATGGAAGTAGAGAAGCTACAAGTTATGATTGACGGGCGTGAGATTCTGGAACCGAGACGAGAGCCTCCGTCATGGGCATGGGATCCCGTCGGATTGTGGGCCGTGCGGCGCCCCCAAACCCTGATCCCTTCCGGCGGTCCCGGCGAAGCTTGGCCAACACATGCGCCAATGTATCGGATCGCATCGTCTTAAAGACTCTATCTAATTCCAACAAAGAAACATATCGAAAAGTATACCAGGAGTCCTTGATGAGAAGGGTCCTCACTTAAGGGATGTTTCGATGTTTTTTGTTACCAAAAAATCCTAGAGGACACGAATCAAACAACATGCAACACACCAGCCCCAAAAAGATCAGCAGGCTGGCTGAGGCTTCGAGGCTCGGTGGACAGGCTCTGGGTTTTCAGTTTCTTCTAGGGATCTGAAGTGGGGCTTATAGGTAGGGGAACTACTGTATTAGGGGACTTCTAACCCCACTTCTGGTCGAAGGTGTCTAGAGCTTGGATTGAGGGCTGTAAGTTTATAGGGATATCGGAGACTATGGAGTTTAGGATCTAAGGGTTTTAACGGAGGTTGAACGCCATTGCCGCTGGTAAGTCGCTGCATAGCTTTTGGTGCATCTCTGCTAAGAGTCAGAGGGAAAGGCGACACCCACGGGCCGTGGTCAACCGTAGGTCTTGTCCGTGCCAGTATGTAGGAGACTTGCCCGAACACCCCTCGGCAACGATCTACTGATCCTCAAAGCTAAGCATGCCGCCTTTTCCATATCACATTGAAGTGCTGCCCACCGGTGGACCTCATACTACAATTGCGGTTGATAGCAGGGGAAGCTAAGCAAAGTGACTCGCGGCTAGAGCAACTCCGAGCGGGTGTGACTGAATTGTTGGTAGACCGTCCAGGAGCCTTCCTTTCCGAGGTACCCGGTAGTCTGATGTACTGTTTCGGGGATGAGTGCCGCGAAACTTGCGATGCCCTACATCCAAGCACTGTACCCTCGAACCGGAAAGACTCTTAGCTCTAGAACCCAGCAGTCCTGAACCCATACACGAGAGACTTCAACCCAAGTCCAAATGGGCCTTAGCAGTTTCTGGGGTATAGTAAGACATCAAGGGCGGTGTTCCAGGTAGATGTCTTCGGGTCTCAGGGTTGTAGGCCTCTGGGGTTCCGAGTTGAGTGCCTTCTTGCGCCTCTGAGGGCTTTTTGGCGGTTGAGCGTCGATATGAATGAACGATAACTGTTCTCGGAAAACAAACCATAACAGAATGCACGATAACATACCAAAACCATATCGTGGTAAGTTACTACATGACGTATATAGCATGACTGTGCTGTATCGATGATGAGGGGTCTTGGGCCAGGTGGGAGGACGCCTTGTTTGGGCGGGTTCCGTACATTTTCACACCAGGAATATGTCTTTTTGTGTACAGTTACAGGCAGCACAATCTCCCCTTAGAGTTCCTGTATACATATACTGAGATACTAGAACAACTCTCCCCCCCCCACCCCGACCCCGAAAAACAATTTATATTCGTTTCATCGAGTTACGAGTTGAGTCAGGGTCAGCTTGGCAAGCGCAATATAGGCACCCCTACACAGCTTTCAAGACTCGGAGTTCGGGTGTGTTCTACCTTCTCTGCACAAACGACCTCTGTTGTGATTGTCAGAATACGGCTGTTCGGGGCATGGTTCCCTCGATCTTCATTTCAGGGTTTAGGGTCGGAATGCCAGGCCCGCTCGGAAACTTCCCAACCCTGTTCTTTCCCTCCTGGACTACCAGACGTTCTGGAGGACCTGACTCAAATCATCTTAAGCGCTCTATGGCCGGAAGCCTCTAATCATCTTGAGCCCGAAACCCAAACTCTGAAGCCCTAAACCCCTAAACCCTTAAAGATTCCTTGTAGAACCCTCATCGATCCTTTTGACCCCTGCACTTGCAGTAACCGTAGTAACCGCAACCCTGGGTAGACACTGCAAGTTTTTGAAGCTCGCAGAAAGGTCACAGGCAATCCGCCAAGGTTGGCAGGAACCACAACATGGGCTTAGAGTTCCCTGAAGGGGATCCAAAAGGGTTCTCTAGAGGTTTAGGGGTTTAGGCTTCAGGGTTGGAGCTTCAGCGCGACGACGACGACTGATGCCAGTACAGTCAAAGGTAAATAGAATGGGTAACTATTTAAGCCCCTGATATTGTAGTTACCTTGAGGAATCCCCAATATAGTAGGGGTAATTAACTATTCAGGCCCCCCCTATTACAGTCAAAGCTTGCTCTTTGGAGGTCCGTGCTGAAAGGTCTCCGGTCGGATGCCTCGGACAATCTGCGATGAGACCGGGCTTTGTGGTTCGGGGCGTTAGGGGTGCTATAAAGGCTTGGAAAGGGGATTTCGAAAGATTTTCATGAGGAGCTTAAGGTTCAGGGTTGCGAGGCTTCGGCGGAGAAGGCTTAGAGCCAAGGGTTTAGGGCTCGGAGATTTATGGTTCACAGTGTCCTGTTTTGGGACAACATACTGCAAGTAGGGCCAGCGAGTTAGGTGTGGCACAGCAATAGCATTGATTAGGTCGAGTTTGGATTGGAGTTTGATGTCCGGAGCTGCGTAGAAAAAAATCTGACAAACCAAAAACCCTAAACCCTCACAAACCAAAAACCCGTAAACCCTCACAAACCCTACACCCGAAACCCTCACAAACCCCAAACCCGACACTTCTAAAGGCTGAAGCTTTTCCACCGCAAAATCCCAAATCCTCCCAGCGGCTGCACCAACCAAGCACAAGCCCAAGCCCTCTCGCGGGGGAAGCTCGGGGTCAAGTTCTGTAGGCGCTCATAAACTTATGTAGAATAGTCTCTGGCGGCCATATACCACAGTTCAATAGGAAGTAGCCACAATAAGGAAAGCCAGCTATTTTGGACATATATTCGATGTTAGGACCCTCAAAATTAAGTTCCATAACAAGAACTTGGTTGTGCAGGTGAAGTACTGGAATAGCACATGAACTGGGCATTCGAGGCAATAAACACCTAGAGAAGCAACCGTGTGCAGGTAACTACTGCATAGAAGAAACATCTTTTATGCACCGGGAATACTCGAAAAGGGAAGCTTACTCAATGATTTGACGAGGCCCTCAGCTCCATGCAGCCAAGCTACCGGCATTGAACAGCGTTGCGTCTACTTCTGCCTTGTCAGCCCAAGGTAGCTCGTCATACCTGAGAGTGGAACCGCAGAGAATTGAATGACAAGGGCTGATCTTACCCCTCAATGAAGATACACAACGGTGAGGTTTCCCCCAATGCAAACCAAACTAGTTTTCTGATGTGCGAACCATCAACTCGAAGACAGGCGGTAAGCATGCTTCATTCTTCAGGCGTAAACGGCTTGCACCCAGGCGTCCATGAGGTATCGAGCACATCTCTAAGTCAAGTTCAAGTGGCTGCTTCCGGAGGGTCTGGAGAGACACTTGAGCTGGTACTTGAAGGTTGGCTGGCAGTGCAGATGCGCACCTTCGAAGATATGGACGCGGATCTCGCGGCGTCCCTCACTGATTGCCTTCCTTGGCTGCTCTAAGAAAACTTGGCACCACGCTGTGTGCATTCGTCTTGCTTGCACAAATCCACAGGCTAGGGAAGCAAGCCAAGATTCTCGTTGTCGAGGAGTAGAGGTATGTAGCACAAGCCACAAAGCTTCAATAAGTCCAGCATGCCTGTGAAGCTCTAGCTGCATTTGTCTGTTTGCCTTTGTTTTCGTTTTTTCGTTCATGCGGCTCTTCTCATAGCCACTCGAGGGACCAGCTAGGGGACTTTTCATGCGGTAAAGTGTAAGGTCATAAGTACAGCAAGCCCACTTAGGGTATTTACAATGCTGCTGAAACCATGCGATGTGCGTGTATCCCACACATGACTCCTGACCCTAGAATCTAGAATCCATGCGGAGACACTCCAAATGACGGAACTAAATTCCATGACCCTTGACGCGACGCACAACCCCAGAAAACATATATATATATATGTATATATGTATACAGTATACACAGATGTCTATCCTTAAACAGGTGAGTTTTTTGTAGGTTAAGTAGGGCATTGGGATCCATGCCTGGATGAGCAGTGGGAGTGCCCGGGCTCGGCTCTGTTTCATCCGGATACCCAGAAAGGTCTTCCACTCGGAAAACCCAGGCCCATACACTCGGGTACTCCATCACGATCCTGAGGCGCTGCGTTGAGAATTCAAGGCTGCGGGTTACGGATTTTGGGGGCGTGCAAGGGTTTCAGGGCTTCAGCATGCAGGGGTTTCAGGTTTTGGGTTGCTATGTAAAGGATGGGTTTAGGTCTCTAGGGGCACTGGGCTCTGATTTCGCATGATGGCTTGAATTTGTGATGCTATGTCTGGGGCCTCTGCATGGTGTCTCCTTGTGATTGATGACGTTGATGTGGGCCAAGCTACATAGTGAATTCGGCCTCGCATGCATGGGGCTTTCGAGATTTTGGATCGTTTGGGGCTTGTTGGCGGGATAAGCCCAGTAGGCTGTCGTGAGCTTGAATATGTGGGATTCCAATGACGCCTCTACGGCATCACACCAAAACGCACGAACTCCATGCGGCCCTAAACAGGGAACCCCTAAACTCTAAACCCTGAACCCCTAAACCCTAAACCCAGAACCCCTAAGCCCTAAACCCTAAGCTCTCGAAGCCCGAAACGCCCTGTCCAAGAATCCTCGAAGGGAGCGGGTCCGTCGCCAGCTGGCGCAGCTGGCCGTAGATAGCGAAGTCGGCTGCAGTGGGACGACTCCCGAAGATGAAGGCCATGCCTGAAGGGTTGCTGCTTCGGGGTTTAGGGGTTTAGGCTTTTAGGAGTTTACTGGTGTTTTGTTTAGCGTTTAGGGGTTTGGGGGTTTGGGGGTTTAAGGGGTTCTGCAAGGGCTCTTTCACGGGTTCACTGAGGTTCTATGAAGCGTACTACCGTTAGGAGATTGAGAAGGTCTTTCCGGGTCTGATGCTTCGCTTCGCGCTTTTCATAGGCTTCGGGTTCTAGATTCTCATCGCTGAGGATTCAGCGGAAATCCAAACATGGATCCTTTGCTACTGCAAGCCCTGGACCTCTGAAGCCAAAGAACCCACAAAACCTTTCTGCGCCTGAAAAACCCTGAAAACCCGCCTGTGCCCCTTGAAATCATAGAGGTCCATATCTTTATTTAAGGCATGCTCCCTGCAAAATAAACATACACCACAGTATTAATTGTTATTGCTGGTCTTACTGGTATTACTGATTACTGATACTGCAATTGTTATTACTACTACTAATGTTGCTATTATTCTTGTTCTTATTAATAAGTAGAATTATCAATATTGTTAATTATTGAAATTTAGACTCATTCCTCTCAGTATCACTGATCGTAGCAGCAGTAGTAATCCTCATTCTAGATGCTCCTCACTTGAAACGGCTCTGAGTCTCTGCCTAAACCATAAAACCCTCAACCCTCACTTAAAAAACCTCTGCCCAAACCCTAACCCCGTAAACCCTAAACCCTTAAACCCTAATCCTAAACCCTTAAACCCTTAAACCCTGAAGCCCTAAACCCCAAAAGTTTCTGAGTCTTGGGGAAAACCTCGGGCCTCGTCGTAGGTTGGCCTCCAGGGCTCTGCAGACGCCTCGCAGGGTCTTCTCCATACCTTCCGGTGTCTTTTGTTTTTGGTGCTTTTCAGGGTTTCGGGCTTTAAGGGCTTTAAGGTGTCTAAGGTTCTCTAGGGCTTTCAGGTTTCTAAGGGCTTTGGAGCTTTAAGGGTGATTTTAAAGCATAGGGTCATAGGGGATTTGCCGAAGACAACTGAGAAGGATTTATTGTTCACAGGGGACAGCATGAAAGTCTTCCTCATTCTTGAGCAATGCAACCCATGCATGCTATGGCGCTGAACTCTACATACATCGGCGTCGCCGTGCCGAGCTTGGGGCATTCTTAGAGGTCGGACTGGCAGAATTCCTAGCTGCTGAGAAAGGTTGATAGTGTTTATCAAGAAGTACGAAGGGTTACGTATGAAGTTGGTCTCAAGTTCCAAGAGACTTGTAGACTTCCTTTCGCCACTAGCTAAGCCTAGGCAAGTCAAAGCTCAAACAGCTGAAACGCTAGCTAAACGAGATGCAAGTCCAGTCGGAGCACCCGACCAATGCCCGCCGCTCGCGCTGCCGGGCGGCAAACATGTCAATTGCTTGCAATGCTTCGTCAGTGTTGTTGGCTTGGAGAGGATTCTGGAGCACTTGCCAGGCCGCGCCAAATTTGGCATCCTCGAGCGTGTGGAATCTTCCCTCGAACATGACCTTCGTAAGCCACTCATCGGCGAAGTCTTCTAGGAGTGCGCAGAGGAAGCGGGTCCCAGCGGAAGTAGGGAAGAGGCTCCGCCGGGTGTTGCCGTGCTGAGCTTGGAGTTCAAGCAGGAGTGGTGTAGAGTCGTTGGCATACCTGGCATTCAGCAGCAGTTCTTTACATAGACATGACACAAACATAGCTGACCCATGGAACCTTTGAAGCTTCCTGGAAGACTCCAAGGTACGTTCCGTCCGGCCTCACCAACACTGGGATCACTTTGGTCTTGATGTCCGGGAAATGTTTGGAAAACAGCTCGCCCGAGTGCGCAGCCACTTGGAAGACAGGTGTCCACTCGTAGGCGATGCGAAGGAAGCGCAGGGCTGCTCTCACTTTGCAGCTGTAGGGCGAACCATCCGACCCGTAGAGCTTGTAAGCTGGCAGTGCCATGGGGCTGGTCGTGCAGAACCGAAGGACCCTACAGGCTAGCCAAGCAGGGCCACCTACGAGAAAGTGCACAAGCAGGTGTGTGGTTCGTTTGACACCGTGAAGCTGCACGGGTCAAGGCTCAGGATGTGAAGGTTTGTGGCCAGTGTGGGCCTAGGGCCTAGGGATTTGATCTCAACGTTCAGAACAGAATGTGTTGAACGTGTTGTACACATCGGTCAACCTGTATCGCACTAAAAGCTCACGTGATGACGGCTGATCAAGCTGGAAAGACTGAGGAAAGCAGTTCATGTCGCGCTTGAATACTACCTGAATACTACCCGAATTCTTGCCTAGGCGAGGTGGCTTTGAGACTACAGCTTAGGCCCTGTACGCGGATTGGCTTGCAAGTGGCAAAGACCTGGGAGCATTGAAAGATAACAGCCAAAGGCTTCGACAAGTCTCAGAGCCCTGTCTGGTGTCTGAGAAGGCCCACTGAATCATAATTTCAACCCTCAATTCGAAGCCCTATGCTGCTGTTCGAAAAAGTTGTTTGAAGGGAGTGCGATCCTTTCATTTCAACTTATTCCCGGGTTTCACGATTGAGATACAGTATCGTATAAGGTAGCCCCCAAAGCCCTGTTGTTTTTATCCAAGCCCCTATATTGAAAAGCTACAAAGCCTTGTGGAACCTTTAAGCTGCGCAGGAACCCTATTCTAGTCTAAGATTTTGTGGCCCGGCAGTTTCTCCTGGGCCACTACCCACTCACGTAAGGAATATACCTTAAAGTCGAAGGGGCCTTGTACATTGTTGTTCAAAATAAATATATCTCTTAACCATGGTTAAAGGGGGTTGAAAATTCTTGAGCTCTCTGGGAAAGGGATCCTCTGAGCTTCCCACCTGATATGGCCGGGCATATCAGTCCGGCTATCTTGTGGCTTCCCGACCTCCGGCGTTCAGGTTTAAGGCTTACCACTTTTTTTTGCATTTTTAAGGGGGTGGTGTTTAGGGTTTACAGGTTCAGGGCTTGCTGGGTGCTTGGCTCAGGAGCTTGTCAGGTGAAGTTACCGCACATCCCAGCCATTGCAATGCTCGGAATTAAGCTCATCAACCCTCTATGAGAACCGGCACGAATACCTGCCAGTGCATATCCTGTTAACCCGTTACATGCATGCGTCTACATTTGTGGTGACGAAGCAGGTGCTGTGACAAGAACCCAATTAGGAAGGTTTGGCAGGCCGTCGTCAAGAACTTCCATTGCCTCCACATGACGACCCCACGAAAGGCGTCTTTGTGGTGCTTTTAAGTTCACGGCTTCGGGTTGCAGATATGTCAGTGCTTAGGGGGCCTTGTTAAAGGCTCCTGAGCTAAAGAAGGTTCGAATCCAACACCACTGCTGTAGCGAGCGTCTCCGCTGTTCCCACTCTGATCTCGAGCGTGGCCATGAATCTTCCGTTTCAGGATTGAAAAATTTAGTAGGTAGCACGTTTGCTGTGCTCAAGGATAATGGGCAAAAAGGTTGGGATCGTCTAGATTGGCTGAAATTCCTTAGGCTTAGGAAAAAGCTTTGCGGGGCAGTGCACAAGGCAAGGAACTGCCAGCGCCCACGAATTCTAGAGGTTCCTGCATACGTCGACATTTGCGGCTGCAGGGTTTGAGAGGGATTCGGCGAATCCCAGGTCCCAGGACTCTGCCTCAAGCTCTGAATGACAAGATTACTGATGCTACGACGACTATAACGACGGCGATGCGTACTACCAGTGCTACTGCTACCACCGCTGCAACAAAAAACAACACCAACAACTACAACAAAAACGACGACGACGACGGCGAATACTATCACCACCATGACTCAGTGGTGATGGTCACCATGAACCACGCCACAGGCTCTGCCACTACCACTACCGCGACAAGTAGTACAGGCAGCAGTGCCGAGCACCACGAGTTAGAAACAGCCAGCAAACGTCTGCAAATGTCCCTCTTGCTCCTTCATGATCCCCCTGCACCTATTCTACAGGTAACACGCGCCGTGGATCGAAAAGGCCTGCAGACACATGCCGCAGACTGGGTTGATGTCGAAGAGGAGGAGGATCCGTTTAGCCTCGGATCCGTTCAGGTGGTGAGTTTGGTGGGTGCAGGGCACGTGCGGCTGAGGAGAAGAAGGCTCTGGTTTTTGGGGTTTAGGGTGGCAGATACACTCCGCAAGGCGCTGAGCGCGCGGCCCATTCACTACTCTGGGCCAACCGTTGGGACAGTTCCGCCTGTGCTGGGAAGGGTTCTCTGAATCTTGGTGCTTTGGGTGAGGCGACTTTCTTGGGTTATGATTAGCCTGCACAGTAAGGAATTAACAACACAAAGCAACCTCAGCAACTAAACCGCTGGGATTGCCGGCGCACCCCGAAAGAAATCGCAAAGAGCGCATGCAAAGTCCTTTTATAAGAGCCCTCTATAGAATCCCAACAGTCCTTGTTAGCCGGCTCCAATCTGGTGTTGTTGCTCGTGTACAGGCGCTGCCACTGGTCATCCTCGGAAGTAGCCAGGGCTTGTTTGCAGCGAAGTGCGGGAATCATATACAATGCAAATACATATACTTGTGTATATATTTACATACAAACTTTCCTCGTTTGCTTCTTGTGTATACCTGTCTATCTATCTATCTATCTATCTATCTACCTACCTACCTACCTACCTATCCACCTATCCATCTATCTATCTCTCTATCTATCTATCTATCCACCTTCTACAACATCATGTCTAACTGATACATCGTGTATGATATGCCATCTCTGAAATCCCTGGACGAGAGAGGGGACCTTAAACACGCGCGATTGTCTGTAATTCAAAATGAGGGGCGTCGGGCTCTCCTGTGAAGGCCCCTGGATCCCCCCCACTTCTGCAGGGGCCTTATAATGATCAGAAGAGGGCTTTGGGGCATGATACGATAGCCAACTGCAGGGCCTTGGGGCAAATTATATCATAAAAAGGGAACCCACCCTCAAAAAAAAAACAACAACAGCCAACAAAAAGTACTAGTACTAAGAGTAAGAGGAGACTTGGAGCTTCGGCTGTTGTGAGGGCGTCTCAAACTTGGGGGCCAGATTCGGCTAGATACCTTGGTTGGGGGATCCTGAGATGTATGATTTTAGAGGCTGGGTTAGGGTCCATATTTTGCTGAATTCCGCTGGAGCACCGTCAAAAGTCGCATGGAACATACCAGTACCCTTCGTCGCTGGCCCCAGCTAACCAATTCAGAAAAGTTGATCCTACCGCTTCTCGAGCTTTTGGCATCCTAGCTTTTTAACAACAAGAGCCTAACACCGAAACCCGAAAGACACGAAATCCAAAGCCCTTGAACATCCCGAACCCGAAACGTGAAAACCCAAACTCTGAAGCGCAAGTCTTAAAGCCCTGAAGCCCCAAATCACCAAAATGCAAACTCTGAAATCATCTAAAACCATAAAGGAAACCGACGCGAATCCAAAGAAAGACCGACGACAGCCCATGGGGGAACCCGAAAGTCCTCTTACCGTAGAGTGCCTTTGTAGCTAGAAGAGTGTTCTGGAGGATATCTAGGGATCTAGGGAGTCCTTAAAAAAGAAACCCTAAAGCCCCCTTAGCTTTAACTATCTATTAATCCCCCAAGTCATGGTACCCATATAGATCCCTTTGAACGAAACCCTGCAGATCCCCTGTGAAGGAACCCCATCTGGGGCGCTTGCTTCCGGCAGGGCGAGCCAGCGCTTGGCAGCCTCCGGATCGCTCTTGAAGCCGGGAAAGACGTCATGGAGCCTTGGGATTTCTCAGCGGTTTAAGGGAAATGACGATTGACGTGCAGGTATATGATGGTACATGCGAATGTTGAGGATTCCTCTAAAAAGGTGGAGAAACTTGATATTCAGTTGTATGTTACGGATCTGGAGGATTTATCGGGTGTCTCGGGTGTAAGGCTGTTCAAGGCGTCTAGAGGTTACAGGGCCTATACAGGGCTCGTAGGGCGCACAGGGCTTACGAGACTTGCAAGGCTTACCGGGTGTGTGAGCTTATAGGATTGAGGATTAGGGTATCGCATGTCCTGGGTCTAGGTCCTTGGTCTTTAAGGTTTTAGGCGTGAGGGCTTGGGGATTTCGGGATTGAGGGTGTGCTTCGGATCGAGGAGAGCACGCCTAAGGTTCACACGGGCCTACAAAATCAGAGCAGTGTTTGGGGGTTTTATGATACCACGACTACAAGTCCACAGGGACCGTATCGAACATTAGAAGATAGCGGGGGGCTATACAGTAGACAGATGTAGACATGTACATGTTTGTACATGGGTGGCTCTCAAAATTAGGGTCCTGTTGGGGGTCCATCTTATAAGGGTGCCGTACTATGGGACCAAAGAAGGGAATAGAAACCTAAAGGAAGCCCTTATAGATCCATTTACAGAAACCGCTGAAAAAGGGACCCTATGATTGTATATGTGCGCATGGTTGTTACCCGGCCACGGGGTCCGAAAGCAATTCCTCTGCACCCAGGAGAAGGGCCCAAAAAGACTTTTGCTTGAAGCTCCAGCCTCTAAGACCCCAAACCTTAAACCTTGCAGGCCTACACCCCAAAACAAAGCCTTGAAACCCTGAAGGCCCAAAAGCCCTAAACCCCAAAGCCCCGAAACCTTAAACCCTGGAACTTTAAACCATAACGCCCGCAGCAACAAAGGCTCAGAGCCCGGAGCCTAGGTTGTTGAGTAGCTCAGTAATAAAAATTTGGCGCTTTTTAAATTTTGGGGTTGAGTTATAGTTCAAAAAGATCCCAGGAAGGAACTTTGAGGTTTGCTTATGTCGTACTAGGAACCCAGAAACAAAAAGGTAAACCATGGTACCACTGAAAAACCTACCTCATATAGCGGCCTTGATAGTTAAATAGTTGGAATTGAGTTTTGGGGTAAACTGTGATAAGGAGCCCGGAGGAACAGGAATGCAACCGGGCGTCTGCTCTTCTGGAAGTGATGGCCCCGCCATGCCCAGGCTGGAACGCCATCAGACCA